AGCAGGAATATGCAAATTAAAACCACAGTGTGAAACCTCAACTGTTGAAATGGTAAGAGTATAAAGTCTGACTACATATCAAATGTTGATGGGGATGTGGAGGATCCGGAACTTTCATACACTGTGGTGGGACTGTTGAATCGTACAAACAGCAGTACTTTTGCAGTTTCTTAACATTTTACCAGTAAAGGTACACCTGCCATATGATCCAGCCATTCCATTCTAGATGTTTATCCAGGATAAATGCACGCATATGTTTATACAAAGACTTGTACATGAATGTCCAGCAGCTTCATTGTAATAGTCCCAAGTTAGAAATAACCCAGTGCCCATCAGCAGGTGAATGGATAAACACGCTGTGGTATGAATAATACTCAGCAATAAAAAGGAATGAACCATTCATGCATGCTGCAACACGCAGGGATCGCAAAATTATGCTGTGTGAAAGGAGCCAGACCAAAAAGAAAGAGAGTCCAGATTGAATGATTTCATTTATAAAAATTCCAGGAAATGCAAATGAATATATGCAATAGAAAGCAAGTCAGCGGAGCGGTTGCCAGGGTAGGAAAGAGGGATTTCAAAGGGGCATGAGGCAACTTTCGAGCATGATGAATATGTTAATTATTGAAGGTGGTGGTGGTTGTGATGGTTTCATGGGTATTTGCATATGCCCATTGTACCGTACATATGAAATGCCCACAGCTTACTGTATCAATTATAGCTCAATAAGCTTTTTACATTAAAAAAGTAGTAAGAATAATATACATATTCCCACCCCTCAGCTTTCATAATTTTCGACCTTTTGCCATTCTTTTTCCAGGAGTTTTGCTATAAAGGGGAGCAAAGAAGGGGACCATACCTAGAAGGGGATATGGGATCAAGAGAGGATTTTTTTTATTGGGGTGGGATATGCTACAGCATGTTTATCCGTGGATCAGGGGAGAGGACAAGTGGATACAGAGGGTAAGAGGAACTATAGAGACTCCTTGAGTGGGCAGGCAAGGCTGGGCTGGTATCCTGTGTGCAAGGGGGGCATGGGCTTTGGAGAAGAGGAGAGCTCGTCCATAAAAGGAGGGAGACAAACACGTGGAGCGGGCTTGCTTAATATGCCACACTGGCTCTTTGTCAGTGATGATGATAATATCAACAATGGCAACAATGAGAATACTGTAGTTAAGAGGCCTTCGTATTAATTAATCAAATGAGTCACACATTCAGCAGTACTTGACTTTCTTGGATGAAGTTTTTGGCTAGGGCACCAGCGAGTGTCTTGTAGGTGCTGTGCAGATTGCTAGGTAGCTCCAGATAAGGAAGGCTAACGCCTGTACTCCAACTCTCCTTTGAAGCAATGCTCCCTTAGCCTGAATCAGAGTAGTCAGTGGATGGAGTAGAGAGAAAGTCCTCTTGCCTCTGTAATCAATGTAAGATTTATTGCCATTCAAGACTTTTAGTGTTGGTGGCAGTTCCATAAGCAAAAATCTCTGTCCCGGCCCTCTTGTCAGTAAACATATTGAGCAACTGGAACTGTCATTCATTGCTGGTTTGTATGCAGATTTTTTAAAAAATATTTCTTTATTGATTTCAGAGAGGAAGGAAGAGGGAGAGAGAGATAGAAACATCAATGATGAGAGAGAATCATTGATTGGCTGCCTCCTGCACGCCCTCTACTAGGGATTGAGCCCGAAACCCAGGCATGTGCCCTTCGTTGGAATCGAACCTGGGACCTTTCAGTCTTCAGGTCCAGGTTCTATCCACTGAGCCAAACTGGCTAGCGCTGTATGCAAAATTGTTTAGCCACTCTGGAAAACACTTGAAAAATTCTTATAAACTCAAGCATACACGTACATTTTCTATATGACCCATAACCCTATTCCAATGTATTTATTTAACCAAGATAAAGGAGGACATGTTCATACAAAGACCTACAAGCGAATGTTTCTAGAAGCTTTATTTATAGTAGCCCAAACTAGAAACAACTCAAAGGTCTGGTGAATAGATAAACCAACAGGGATATATCCATGCAAAGGAATACTATGCAGCCATAAAAAGGCTGAAATATTGGTACCCACACAACATGGATGAAATAAAAAGCTCTATGTTAAGTGAAGTAGCCAGATACCAAAGGTTATAAACTATATTATTCCATGTACATTACAATCTTTAAAAGGCAAACTATAGAGCAGTGGTTCTCAACCTTGGCTGCACATTAGAATCACCTGGGAATCTTTTTAAAATCCTGATTTCTGGGCCTCATCCTCCGGAAATTCTGTTTCTTTGTTACTCATGTTGTGGCCCCATCCCAGAACAAAGAAACAGAATATCCAGAGGATGAGGCCCAGAAATCAGGATGTTAAAAAGATTCCCAGGTGATTCTAACGTGCAGCCATGGTTGAGAACCACTGCTTTAAACAAAGGAATTTAAAGAAATCACAACATAGAAAATGGATTCTCTCTCTCTCTTTTTAAATATATTTTATTGATTTTTTACAGAGAGGAAGGTAGAGGGATAGAGAGTTAGAAACATTGATGAGAGAGAAACATTGACCACCTGCCTCCTGCACACCTCCTACTGGGGATGTGCCCGCAACCAAGGTCCATGCCCTTGACTGGAATCGAACCTGGGACCTTTCGGTCCGCAGGCTGATACTCTGTCCACTGAGCCAAACCAGTCAGGGCGAAAATGGTTTCTCTTTTTAATTCAGGCTCATGTTGATGTGTATCTCTGGGCTCCCACTGATAGTCCAACGGTTCATTTTATTGGGCTGATTTCCAAGGCAACTGTTGTTTTAACTCCTGTGTCTTAGTGCTGAAACATGGCAGGCCCTCAACAAATATTGTGGAATGACTCTGTTGAATAATTTCCCCTCTCAAAGTATTGGGGCTTCTAGATCCTTGGACTCTAACTGGGTACGCACTTAGGGCGTAACTGAAGACCTCTTTAAATCCACGGGAGGATGGGGAGGGTTGATGCTACTGCTACTTAGTTACAGTGACTTTGCACCAAACTCTTGGTTTCTCCTCACTCCAGCTGCAACGCCTCACGTGTTCACTGCATGTTTTATTGCACTGGCGGTTGGAACCGTGCAGAAGGACCTAAACTTCCTCTGAAAATGTTGTGTGTATTTTTATTTTTTACTTTCCTTTTGTAGCTTTGGCCACAGGACCTGGGAGTGTCCTAGGGAGAGTGAGTTCGAGCGTCACTACTTTATGATAGAAAACCACTTTAGCTTGTTCTTACCAGCTCAATCCAGTTTAGGCACCAAAGTCTTACGTTCCTAATCAAGCAGGAGCCCGTGAATTCAATTAAAATCTGGAGTGACTTCCTGACAACCACCGGTCGGGATGACTGCATTCCCTTAATGCAATTGGGCAGGATGGCACACGTCCGGAAGCCCGCTGCTGCCTCTCATTAGCAGCTCTTTCTCACCGCCCATTGGCCAGGAAAGCAGTCCTCAGCCTGTGGCCGTTATTTCTGCGTGGACCCTCGGACTCCCACTGTGTGTTTTCTCAGCAGACTGTGCCTGGAGCAGGTTGGGTTTGAATGTCATGGTGATTGAGCCAATTTGAAAATAAGTGGGTTTGTGGGAGTCAGAGCGAGAGTAGCTGGTCTGGTGAGAGGAGTGGGAAGGTAACGGACTGCAAGAGGGATGAGTCAGAGCTGCTCTGAGCTTCAGAAACAGCTCAGACTGGCCAGCTGCGGGCACTTGCCTCACCGTGTGAGCCAGTGAGCGATCTCCGCCCCCCACCAGGTGGGACAGGAATGAGCTGGGAAGTCCTGAGTAGGAAATCCCACACTTAAAAACTGTACCTTCGGATCTCGGTTCCACTCAGGGACATTCTTTGAGGGCTAGTCATCCACCCGAGCTCACAGGAGTGACTCGAGGGGGCACTGCCAAGAGGACATGTCAGGAACACACAGAATCTCGCCTTTTTTTTTTTTTAGTAATGTTAAATGGAAGGTTCTGGTGATATTGCATACTCAAAACTAGGATATTGCCAGTGCTTCATCACTTTTCTCAATTCTGACAGACAGAAGGTTTGCATGCACATTTATGCACACACCCTTACATGTGGCAGGTGGGAAAAGTTTGCAATAAAAAGAAGCTGAAGGGAAGAGGCCTGGCAGTGTGGTTCCATCTGTACCAGTGACGTGTACCTAAGACCAGTGATCTCACTGGGAAGAGGCTCAGAGATGTCAGATGCAGAGAGAGGAAAAGGCCAGTAGCTCCAGGCTGGTGGAGTTTTGCACAGGAAATCCCCCCTGAAGTTAAAATGTTATTAAAATAATGGGGTGCACTATCTAACTCATTCAGCTAACGTTGCCTGTCCATCACGTATACTACTTCTTCCAGATACAAACTGTGGGGGCTAAAAAAATTGATACTTTTCCTCCCACCTTCTAAGTTCTATCTGGGCTAATAGTCAAATGAACAGAGACAGATTAACAGGAGAAAATGAAATTTTAATACATGCACATATGCAAGCGAGCTCCAGAGACAGTGAGGCAACATTGGATATTGACATTTTGGGTGAGGAGGAAAGGGTGGGGGTGGGGGTGAGGGTGAAGGTGGTGTTAGATTTCAGAAGTGAGAATGGGTGACTTACAGTGAATGCCCATGGCAGGCAAATTCTTGCTAGGCAACTCAGAGACAGCGGGGGGCAGGGGGCATCTAGCCAGCAGCCCCGCGTAAAGCCCTCCAGTTTACCACACCGCTCAAATATAGTGCGAGGGGACCATCCCTGACGCAGGCCTCTCTGACTTTCTTGGGCAGGAGAGGGGGGAGGTTCAAAGGTTCTTTCTGAGTCTTCTTAACAAACAGCTTAAAATCAGTATCCGAAAGGCAGCTTCCCGGTGACACAGCTTGGGTTCCCTTCCTGACCGTTAGGAACAGCTCGGAACAATCCACACGCTCTCCCCGTTCTGCCGGCGGGAGTGAGGGCTCCGCAGGCCCCCTGCGTGCAGGTGTTTCCTTGTTCAGACGCTCAGAAAGGGCTGCGGGCTGCTCGCTGACAGCGCCCTGTCATCTCAGGAACAGCGTTTTCTTTTCCTTTTTCCTTTTTTAGTAACACTGCTGTCCTCTTTCTTCTCACGTTCAAAGCTGCCTCTGGCCGGGCTGGCCTGGCTGGGTTGGCTGGAGCGTCGTCCTGTTCACTGAAGGGTCAGGGCACATACCTGGGCTGGGAGTTGGATCCCTGGCAGGGGCGTGTCTCAAAGGCAGCAGGCCAATGTTTCTCTCTCACATTGATGTTTCTCTCTCTCTCTCCTCCCCTTCCCTCCCCCCCTCTAAAATCAATAAGCATGTACTGGGGTGAGGATTAAAAAAGAAACAAAAACAAACGGCCTCTGTAGGCCTGGAGCTTAATTGGAGAAATATTTTGAATTCCGCTGATCGGTGGCCCTTCACTGATTCCGGGAAGTGGGAAATATTTGCTTTGGTCTGAAGCAGCTCCAGGGTCCATGCACCACATTCAGCCTCTTGCCCCGAGTGGGCCAAGAGCTGTGGGTTCTCACAGGAGCTGGAGAACATTCTTTATTTAAAACGAAATCTCCACACCTTCCAGCAACTGCAGACACGTCCGTGGCTCCCGTGAACAAGGGCCTCTGAAGCGTGACACACCAGGACAAAGCCTTTCCCGCCCCAGCAGAGCACAGTGGGCCTGCCTCCCGCAGCGTTCCCTGTGAAACCTCTCATTAAACGTGCCGGGTGGGTCTCCCCCTCCCCTTTCTCTCCCCGGCAGGCACAAAGGTTTGCTTGCCATGCACCTACTCTTGCTTGTGAAAAGGCAGGTCACGTGACAAACCGTAACTATTAATGAAGTTACTCATTAAATAAAAGTGATGTATATTTAGAATATCCCTGCTGACCTTTCCTACATTAGCATTAAAATGATCCGCACAAAAAGCCGTAAGAATTCCAGATGGAGCTTTAAACCGAAAGCATGTTTCTTTGCCCAGCAAAAACATAATCCCGGTCCCGAGGAATCTTAGACCTGACATTTCTTTTGATTTAATTAGATGCAAGCAAGGAACAAAAGCCACATTTTAATACTTGGATGTGTGATTATTTTTTGTCGCAAATTCCCCGCATGCTTTTCTCACGTGTGTGGCTTGCCAAGTCTTGCAGAGTGTTCTTACCGACGTTACCTTGTTTGACGTTCACAGCCGTCCTGTGAAGAACTCAGGTGACAGAAGGGACTGCCGCCATTGGCAGATGAGGACACTGATGCTCCGGGGGTCTCCTGGCGGAGAGCTGGAGGTAACGCTCGGCCCCGAAAGTACAGATTTAACCTTCGCTGCTGTCCACGGGGCCTGGGGGCCGTGTGTCAGTGTAGCTAACACCTGTGTGTGAGCCTCATGGTGTCAGTGTGGGGGGGAAGGCAGCCAAAAGATTCAAAAAGAAGAAAAAGAAATGGAAAATGGACCAAGAGGTGAGAATAACTAGGGAGTGATACTGAAATGTGCTTCAGTGCAGCAAAATCAGCCCCGTGTGCCATCGGGTAAAAGTATTAAATGAGCAACTATACTAGGTGCCAAATGTCAGGGTTTCTCAAAATATGGTCCACGAGGATTCTTTGGTTGGCACCCAGACTAGTCACTAGGCACTGGTATTGGCAGATACTGTAGTCAGCACAGGGGGTAACAGTAAGACACCCCCAACTTCGAGATAAAGTTAACCTCTGGTGATACTGCTATCATCACCTGGTTATTATTTGACAGGAAAGGACTGGAGAGGAGACTAGATAATATAGGCACGTCCCTTATACAGCTCTGCCAGGAAGCTGCAGGTAACCCTCCACAGGTCTGTGCCCCGCATATCTCTTGGGGAAGGGACTGGACAATAGACACATGCCCAGTAAGGTCTGGGTGCTCACTTACCTGTCAGTCACACCTGGGAGCCAGTCAGTGGCCAGAGTAGGCGTGGCCACAGCAAGAGCACGATATCTGAGATCTTAATCCCTGAACAAAGGAAGTTTCTCCCTCTCTCCCTCTTCCCCTGTTTCCCCTTCTCCCTCTCCCCCTTTTTCTTCCTCTCCCCATCTTCCCCTTCTCCCCTCTCCCCCTTGCCTCCCTCCCTCTCCCCCTCTCTCCCTCTCCCCCTCTCCCCGTCTCCCTCACTCCTCCTCTTGCTGCTTGCCCCTGACCTCTGGCTTGCAGGGCTCTAACGCCCTGTTTTGCTCACATGGCCCACAGCCAAGTGGACTCCACACAATGGACTAATGGACTGTGATTAGCCTAATGCTGTTCCGGCCTCAGGTCCACTATGGAAGGAACACCCTGGCCACTGGCCCTACTTCTGGCTCTACCACAGCTCCAGCTGCACCTTTTTCAGGACTAGGTTAAGGGGCAGGGACTTTGCAACCTGAGAAATAGAATTCGGCAATAAACACCATTCATTCCCCTGTGGGCGCCTCCGGAAGTGCTCATTCCAGTGGTACCCCAAGAACCCCACTCCCACTCATGTCGCGGAAACTGGACCCACTGATTTCTCCAGCAGCACTGGGACTAAAAGAGAATGTAGCAAAAGAGAATGCAGAGAGTCAGACTAAAGAAAAGCGGGTAAATTATTGACTAAGGAGGTGGAGATGCCCTGAACCAATCACTGTGTTCTATATACCAGGACATCTGCACTAACTTATCTGACACTGAGCATAAGAAGTGTTATTAATCTGGAGAAATAGGAATCAACGGTGTTCACTTTGTCTGGGGAAGGATGACTGTTAATTGGAAGGGGATGATGGCTGACCGCCACCTTCTCAAGCAGGAACTGGCAGAGGGGGGGAGTGGAGGGATGTAAGTGACAGTCACTGAGATCCCCTACCGGGAGCCTGGATGCTTCATCAGGTGTCCGGGGGCCTGGGGTCATGCTCTGAGGTCATGCTCCTCACGCTGCCCCTGAGGCACCTGGACCCCTGGAGGGCCTGAGGAAGGAGAAATGGTCTTTGAAAGACCTGTCCCCTTACCAAGCAATACCCTGAATCCTGGGTTATAGTGCCGGTCTTTGGGGACAGCTGGTGGGATGCCACCAATCCCGGGGTTTCTGGGTCTGCACAGCAGAGCCCTAGTCTTCATTTTTTATTTTTTTAGTCCTCACCCAAGGATATTTTCTCCACTGATTTTTTTTTTTTTTTTTTTTAGAGAGAGGGAAAGACAGAGAGATTCATCGAAATGAGAGAAATACATCAATTGGTTTGCCTCCTGCACACACCCTGACCAGGGCCCAGGCCGGAGAGGAGCCTGCAACCAAGGTACATGCTCTTGACCAGAATCAAACCCGGGACCTTTTGGTCTGCAGGCCGGCACTCTATCCACTGAGCCAAACGGGCTAGGGCAAGGCCTGGTGTTTAAATGTGATGAGTGTGCCAAGGCCCTCTGCCGCTTTTGCCTGCCGGGTATGGACAGCCACTGTCCTTGGACCACAGCCTCCTGCTCGGCCTTGGTGACAGTGGACATGGTGCTTGTCTTCCTTATTTAAATGCATACTTCATTTGTAGCAATAGTCTGGCTCTAGGGCAATAGAAGCCCCATTCTGGGGTTGGAAAGAATAGGGGTTCTTGTCTTGGTGCTACCACCAGCCACACCTTTGATATTTTGGGCTACTTAACCTGCCTAGGTTTCTTCGTCTCATTAGGTGATCTTTGTGATTTGCCCAGGCATTTAGCTAATCAGGGACAAATGACCCTTCCCCCCATTGCCCTTCCCTTCCGTTCCTCTGCTTTTCCTTATGTAAATTTGGGAGCAGAGCCAAAGAAAAGGCCAGGAAACTGCATGTGGGCCAGGAGGGCCTGTGATGGCCATCTTGGGGTGATGTAGTCAGTTACAGTCTACCCTCTGGCCTCAACGACTCCCACCCGTTCCACGTGCAAAATACACTCATTCTCTCCCTGAGACCCCCACACCTCAATGCTTATGGCATTTGGATAGGTTGGGAGGGACTGAAAACAGAGGGTTTTCCGCATGACTCTGTCCTATTCCTTTGAGCATAGAGGGTTTCCCTCGGATCTTTTCCTGTGCAACTGCAGGAGTTCTGAGTTTCAGGTTGTTCTGAGTCTATGCCAACAGATATGGAAGGAAAACCACCCAAGACACACACCCACCATCTTATCGACCTTTGTATTGATTTCCCTTCCCAAATGACTTTGCTATTATTTCCTTTCAGAGTCGTTATTAGTTGCATTATGGATTCTGAACAGTGTTTTTATTTATTTATTTTTAAATATGTTTTATCGATTTTTATTTTTTTTTAGAGAGAGAGGAAGGGAATGGGATAGAGAGATAGAAACATTGATGAGAGAGAAATATAGATTGGCTGCCTCCTGCACGCCCCCTCCTGGGGATCTAGCCCACAACCCGGGCATGTACAGGGAATCAAACAGTGACCTCCAGGTTCATAGTTCAATGCTGAACCATTGAGCCACATCAACAGGGCTTAACAGTATTTTTATTTATTTTATTTATTTATTTTTAATCCTCACATGAAGATATTTTTCCATTGATTTTTAGAGAGAGTGGAAGAGAGGGGAAGACAGAGAAATATCAATGTGAGAGAAACATATTGATTGGTTGCCTCCTGCACAGTCCCCAATCAGGGCCCAGGCCGGGGAGGAGCCTGCAACCGAGGTATGTGCCCTTGACCAGAATCAAACCTGGGACCCTTTAGTCTGCGGCTGATGCTCTGTCCACTGAGCCACACTGGCTAGGGCTGAACAGTGTTTTTAGATGTAACCAGTGGGAGAGAGACCGTGGCATCTGCTCACTCATCTTCACTGGAACCAGATCCAGAAGCCATTTCTTACTTTGTTTGCCATCTGCGAATGAGAAACCATGTTATTTTTGAACTCTGCCGGTCCTGTCGCCTCTATCGTTAACTGTTTGCTCTTTAGCTTATCTTCCTACTCTCGTTTTACTGTAGGCAGCTGGGCGAGGCCAGGTGCACTTCCTGCACTGTGCCTGGCACTGTCCTTAGCGAGGTCACACAGTTCACGGTTCTCTCTTCCCCAAGTCACCGTGCTGTCAATGTTGCTCACCTTCCCACCACCACATAAAGCGCCTCCTTCCCTCAGATTCCAGTGGTATTTTCCTCCTGTTTACATAAGCCTTCGCAGGCAGGCTTCAAGGCCAGTCCCAGAGCCTTGGCACATGTTTCAGGCTTTTATTACAGCAGCACCCGCTCTGGTCCAAAATCTGCATCAGTGAAAGTTGAATCAGAGAAGCAAAACCATTTCAAGAGAAACAAGGCAATTCTAGTCGGGATTAGAGCGTATTGATTGTAGGCGCTGGTTGAGCGGCCTGTGCAACCTGATGTCCCTATGTCAAGACTTGGGTCTTGGTCAGCAGGATGGGCTGGCTTCATGAGGGGACCATGGGCGTGAAGAGGTGGGAAGAGAGCAAACAGCAGCTGGAGACTCATGTGGATGAACTGGAACCCACGTGTCCCATGTCAGCCACTCCTGCCTCCAGCCCTCCACCTTCGATGGTGAAGGCGACTGCAGAAGAGCGGGGCACCTCGCCGTGGCGTTTCACACCTGCCAGGACTCAGAGGAGCTGAAGAAGCCATGGAGCAACTATGGGCCGAGCTGCTGCCCCAGATCAATAAGAGGGGCCGATGCACACACACCAGCCTCTGGCTCCACGCATGGCTGCCGTCCCGCCTCTGCCCCCCAGACGCTGCTCCAGTTCCGGGACACACAGTTCTGGCCTGGCTACGTTGACACCGTACAAGGCCACCACAGTGCCAAAGCCCTGGCCAGGCCTTAGGGGTACAGCTGGGGACGCGCAGTGGTCTGTCTGTGACGGCAGAGGCTGGCCATTTAAGGATTTGTGTGCGTCAGTGCACA